TCTGGACTGCCGCGAGGGAGGGGGGCGGGGCGGTGACATACACGGCCAGGGGACGTGGCCGTGTACGTCAGCGTTACAGGCGCACAAGACACTGGGCTACTATATATATGATGAGTGCATGATGGATGGGCTGATGGATGCTCATCAAATTAACCATGACTTGCTGTTTGTTTTTGGAACTGCTGAATTTTTAATGTGCTATCACAGCCCCGTTTTTGTACAGAAGGAACCTGGTTTCCATTTTTCAGCACTTGAAGACAAGACCACAGACAAGAGTAACGTTAATTACATTTTAAGATACCAAAAAAACAGCAAAACACGCAGCATTGTCAAGATGGCAAAATAAGAGGTACTGTGTCTGCTCACAATAAATAGGTGGCACTGGGTCCTTGTGTTTAAAATTTTGTTCTTAGCCCTGATAGCTATGATATGACTGTTTGTTTATACAGTAAAACTCCAGTGGTCTGGCATCCAATGGTCTGGCACTCCTGATAATCCGGCACCATCTGGAACCTGGAAGTGCTCCAGGCAGCCGGACAATTGGAGCTGCTCTGCCCCAGACGTCCCCGAGTCAGCCGCTGGTCAGTTTCAGCAGCGGCTGACTTGGGGACGCCTGGGGCAGAGCAGCTGGGGTGTTGACGAGTTGGTCCCGCAGTGCTGCCCCCTCCATTCCCCCACCCCACCCCAGACCCCTCATAGCCCCCCCCTTCTAATAGTCCGGCATATCTGATAATCCAGCACTCCCTGGGTCCTAAAGGTGCCGGATTATCAGAAGTTTACTGTAATAGGATCAGACATGAGTCATGGGAGCTAATGTATTCCTTTGAATATGCTGACAAGTCCTAAATGTTTGGCTTTACCCAGACTTGCTTCCTAGATTTAGTTTTGTAACTGATGGATTTTATCCAAGGAAGTTGAGCTCAGCATCTGGTTTATCAAGAAAGTCCTGGCTTTAACCATCTTTTTCAGCTTGGCTAACTGAATCCCAGAGACTGGCCATTGTTAGACCACATCAGTGTCATAATCATGAGCCATGAAATCTGCCCATCTATTGTTCCCTTTGAGTAATAAAGGGTTGCGTTAGTTTTGACCTGTTTAATTTTCTGGCTGCACCAGTTGCAGTGTGGCTATGTGAGCGCCACTGTCTGTTTCTAAACTTGTACTGCGCTGTGCATCTTCCATGGGCCACTTCAGGATATTTATCCCAAGGTCTCTGTCAAAAGAGAGCCAAGCCCAGAGTACAAGACTTATTCTACTGAAGGCTGAAGAAGGAAAAAAGCAGCCATCTGTCTGCAAGTAGCAATATTGGCAAACATTTCTCCTATACTCTGTGTTTAAGCATATGTATTTTTAACCCACATCCCAGCATGTTCTTTCAAAACACACTGACATTGAGCTTTCCAGGTTAGCATGAGATATGTCATATTGTCTGTTTATTAAACACATTAGTGTTCAGTGATTTTCATTGCTATTGATGAAACTGTATACAAGCTCTAGAAGTAACTACTTATATCCTACAATGAGCTTTTCAGTTAGGTTCAAGGCTTTTTTTTGCTGCTTAAGTTTTGCCTAATTAATTCCTATGATTTAAATCAGTGCATATCTGGACTAGCTCTGTTGACTTGAATGCTTGTTGGATGGGGGAAGCAATTGGAAGAAATCAGTTCAGTACCTCTCTTTAGTGAGGCATCGCTGTCATTACTTTCTAAGGTTTCATTATCTGGGGTTCTTGGTGGAGCTCATTAGTGCAGCACTTTTTCCATTGGGAAGCACCTTTAAACCATTCAGAAATTGCAGCTTGGGCAGCCTGTTGGTTAAACTCTTGATGTTTCCTAAGAGCACATTATGTCTTTGCTTGGTGATCCGCACTGGGTGACGTGTAGGCTGGTTTTGATTATTAAAGTCCAAAATACTTTTGATCCAAGCTGCTTGAGATGTGCACTTCCCGTTGTGTGTTTCTGCAACAATCATCTGAGGCACTCAGGATAAATGAAAGCAGCCAAAGCAAAGAGTACTGCACTGAGCTTGGAGAGGGTAAAATAGGGCCCAGCTGGGAGCACCCTTTGGAACCAAGAACTGTGTAAAGGAGGCCCTTCCCCAACCCCTCACCATGTGGCAAGGGCAGGGGAGGATGATGGCTGCGGATTGGAACTAGATGGTAACAGCTCCTTTCCTTTTTCTTTCCATCAGAGGCCTCACCCCAGTTTTTTTATGTGTACATTTTGTGGTGCTAACCAAATCGTGTTCTACACTGATGTGGCAGAGCACTATCAGCGGTAGGCAGTGTTCCCTGTAAGCCAAGTGCTTAGGCAGCCACCCATGAGAGATTCAAATGCTGCCCAACTGATTAATGGAGTGCCCACAGTCAGCAGCCTGTTTCTGATGGTAGTGCACATCCACACATGCCTTGGTGCACATAACAAAATTTATTCCATACATGGATGGAAAAATTAGAGGGAACATTTGGCAGTCGATCCTTGACTTGGAAGCAGGCTTTCCTCCTTGTTCCTCCAGTGCCAGGGTTTGATGATGCTTGGGTCACCCCACTAGCCCTGCTTGCTTTCCAAGGGAGGGGATGGGATAGAGGCAATGTCTTCAGGCATGGATTGAGAGGATGGGTTGGTTAATGCTTTTTGGGCTTGGGAGCAGATTTTGGGAGGTTTTCAAAGGGTATGGGTGCCTGTCTGTGTAGGTGCATGTGCTCTTCGCTGTAATATTTGAGCACACTCGTGAATGTTCTCCATCTTTCGGTTTTATTAAAAAGCGTATGTTTCTGTAAGTCCTGTAGTGAGCCTAGGGTCTGAGTAGAGGAGTTGCATTTAAACCAGTGCAACTGTGTGAGGAGAGGTCAGAGGAGAGGAGAGGAGAGGAGAACCTGGAGCGATAGCTTGTGTTCTCTTTTAAGTAAGGCCATTATTGGTGAGACTTTTGCATAGAACCACAGTGCTTGTGGAAGGCTCAGACCATGCTGCATTGTTACAGGGTTCATCTGTGGGCGGGCTCATAGCAAGTGTCTAGAACCATCATTCAGCACCCAGCCTTAGCACTTTTCTCTGCCTTTCCAGCAACGTGGTGATGTACTGCAGCCGATAGTGTTCTTACCGTCGGAACAGCATTCAAGTGCTGTAGCTGTAGCTGTGCTTTGCTTGCTGTTTCTAGGAAAACAATTACTGGGTGAAGAAGGATATTTCCTGCTTGCTTATTAAATTAGCATTTCATTGCTATGATGACTTGCCATTACATAGCATATTTCTTTCAAACAGATGCTACTGTTTGCTCTTCTTAGGGATTATTTCATTCACCATTGATCTGAAGTCACCTGTAGGGTAAGACATGACTCAGCAAGGCACAAGTTAGTGCCACAGTGAGAAATAACATTTCCAGTTGAAAATGCCACAGAAACGTTATTAAGTACTCGATGAGAATTCTGACATCCACTTAGGGTCAACATCCCATGCTCTGGGAACAGAGCGCTCTAGGACACTAAATGGCTATTGCACATTTCACATGAAAGGCAACAGTCTCAGTAATTCCTTAACACTGTATTAGGGCTCTGATTCTTTATTGACTCAGACTGGAAGAGTGCTGCCTACTAAGCCACGAATACAATTTCCTACAGCTACTGGGGGTGGGGGTGGTTTTTTTTTTTTTTTTTTTTTTTTAAATCTCTTGTCCAAATACTCCATGCATCTAGTCCTGGGGCTAGATAGCGGGGGGAAGGGCAAAGGAGGCAGTTGTCTTGGGGCCCAGGGTCTCTATTGCAGCTTTAAATCACCACCCGAGCTCAGTGCAGTCTGGGCGGCACTTAGGACTGGCTGTGGGAGGTGTGGTGTGATCTGGGAGGGGCTGAGAACTGGCTGCCCCATCCCTTCCATCGAAGGGCTAGCCCCTTTCAGAGGGCCTGGAGCTGAGTTCCTTCCTCCCCTCCCCCCCGCTGCTACTGCGGAATACTCGAGTATCCTGAAATAACTATCCCGTGTTTTCACAGCAAGCCCGAACTCTTCCGACGTCCCTGTAAACCTCATTCCACGAGGAGTAAGGGATGTTTCAGAATAGCGGGTTATTTTGAAATTTGGTGCTGTGTAGACCGCACCAAATTACAAAATAAGCTATTTCGAAATAAGATACACAATTTGCATAGCTCAAATTGTGTATCGTATTTTGAACTACAGTGCAGTGTAGATGTAGCCAAGCTGTCTGGGGCCTGGGGAAGTCCTGTTGACACCACAGCTGGCTGCAGAACTACTCAGTTACTGCCTAGGCGGAAGTATCTTGTTATGTTGCATTCATTCTAATTTATACCGTTCACAAGCTATTCACATGTCCCTTGGACAGTGCTAGCTTATATTAAATAAGGAATTTTGCACTAAAACCTACAGTAAAGACGCTCATATTGCAGCTGCGTTTTACACAGCACACTTTAATTAAAGCTGTCCCAAACCCCCGAAGATTTGTACGGCTATAAGGAAAGTTAAAACATTCCCTTTCTGTGTTTTATTGGAATAAGTGCAACACCCTTATGGATAACTTGCTAATAGGGCATGGCAGCAAATGGGGGAAGGGGATACACTTTACCTTTACCATCTGATTTAGGTAAAGTGAACTCTGAAGTTTGACACGTTTTTCAAGCTTTCACCTGAGAATTTAATCTTGGAACAGGTTAAGGAAAAAATTCCCCAGGTCACCTTACACTGTATTGTCTAATGTCCTTTATAATTTTGGTCTCAAATGAGAAGTGTTATTTCAGACTGGAGGGTTTTTTTACACATCTCCCTCTTGGGATAGATGTACGAAGGCATTTAAGCACCTCTAGATGCAGAGAGGTGCCCAGTAGGATTTTCACTAGCACTTAAGTAGGCTGGGTGCCCAGCTCCTGTAGATTTCAGTACCTTTATAATCTGGCTTCTGTGTTGGTATTAAGTGATGTACTAAGCCCATTTAGGCTTATGCAGAGGAGCAGTTGTATTCTTCAGCTTCAGATTCTGCTTTGTCTTCTGCAGGCTCCTGCTTCTGGGTAGCTGTGTTGGACGGAAATGTGGTGGGAATCGTGGCTGCAAGAGGCAATGAGGAAGACAACACCATGGAGCTGCGCCGCATGTCTGTAGATATCAACTTCCGTGGTAAAGGGATTGCCAAGGCCCTGGGCCGCAAAGTGCTTGAGTTTGCCATGCTCAACAACTATTCCTCCATTGTACTGGGAACCACAGCTGTCAAGATGGCAGCCCACAAGCTGTATGAGTCCTTAGGGTTCAAACATGTGGGCGTCATCGAACACTACACCCTCCCTGGGATGACGCATTCCATACTCGAGAGAATGTTTTTCCAGCTTCGCTACCACCGCTACCGCCTGCAGCTGCGTGAAGAATAAAAACAAAAGCAAAAAAAAAAAAAATTTTTTTTCTGCCCCAACTCCCAAAAAATTGCCCTTTATTTTTTCACCTTTTTTATTTCAGTTTTGTTTGTTTTGTCCCTCATTTCATTTTTAATTTGCTTTGTACAAAATAAGGACCCTTCCTTGCATGCTGTAGGGTGGTGGCGCTGAGGCTGGAAGTACTGCTCTCCTAATGCATACAGTGTTAATGACCTGGCAGGTCAGAGTGGACCTACAGCCTGTTGTTCCAATCTTACCCAGGTACCTACATAAAGCACAGAAACTTACAAACGTAATAGTACCACTGGTCTGGTGTACATAGTATTTTTTTTCTTTTGCAAATGTAAGATAGTGTAGTGATGACATTCATAATACAGTAAGTGCAGAAATATTACTTGAATGCATTTCTCAGTATTTCGTGCACCAGTAACTAGAATATGCATTCATCTTGCTATAAATTACTGATTAATAGTTTTCAAAGAAAATGTGAAAAAACGCTTGCTACAATGCATGAAGAGGAAGTGTGTGCACGCACTCAAACACACAGCACTGCCATCAAGGCACTGGTGTTGCACTTTTTTTGGATGTGCCTCATTCTGCCAAATATCTGAAAGAACCTTGGTGCATCCAGTACCCATGACTTTTTCTCCATTCTCATTTTCCTTCCTAAGCCAGCAAACAGACTTGAACCATTTGAACTCTGAGCCCCATTGTAACATATTGTAAAGTAAGATCAAACCTAAATATCTCCTGCGCTGTTCTATATCCACGCATAACCTGCAGTCCTGGGCCAGACTTCCGCATGTGCATTGGAGTTTCTCTTTGCTGCCTTCTGGGTTTGTTATTTTTGTTTGTGGTTTTTTTTTTTAATTTTTAAAAATTTTTATATTTGTTTTGGCTTTTGCTGAATGGTGTCATTGAAGCATAATGGAGGCTGCAGTTTCTATGGCAACACATTTGCACATTAATGTGAGCACCAAATCTAAACACTTCAGACAAGCAATGTGTGAGAGATAATTGCGTTTTGGGAGTGTGGGGGGGAGGGGGGAACCATACATATTATCTTAACCAGCTGCTGTTTAATAATTGTAGATGGCCTCACTGCAGCCTTCCATAAAAGGTAACTAACTGCTTTAATGATGTCAGATGTGTGAATTGTACAATGCAAAAAACAATGCAAAGCAGATTTGGCATGTGTCTGTACCTAATATGTATGTACAGTGCCTGCCAACAAAAGAATAACCAAGATTACAGCTTCTTCTAGCCTGAAATATGAATTTTTTATAACTTATTTAAACAAATAACAACTTTGCATGAATTATGTCTTGGGGAAAATCAGTAGGTTTTAATTTTTAAAATGTGGTATCAGAAATATTAAAAACATTTCTGGTTGCACTTAATTTGGGGTGGGTGGTGGGATTCATCTATCTTAAATTTAAAGGGAAATGCCCTTTAACTTAGTACCTGTTCTGTGGAATCTTGTGTGCGGGGTGGGGGACAGAAAACCATGATGAAATTGAGAAGGGACTGAACGTATATTACTAACACTTATAACTAGAGTAGAAGCACCTAGGTAGGAGAGTTTCGAGAGGAGGGAAGAAATGTATCTTTGTCAAATCAAATAGTGGAAACACATAAGAAGGGTACTAGACAGAAAGAGCAAATAGAAGGCTTAACTAGTAAGAAGTGGAACAGAACATCCATGGGAATGATATTGTGATGTGGAAACCAAAATGCTAGACTTTCACTTCCAGTCCAGGGTCTTTCCCACTCTGAGATTTATCAATGTGAAGGTAGGAATTGGGTCCAGACTTCATTAGTTCCTACTGGCCTGTTAGACAGGAGACCAAACTCAGTGTGTAGTTCCTGCTTACAGGGACAGGAGCATCTCCATGGGTGCTCCTTTCAATAGGGAGGAAACCTACACGTGCTTAACAAGTGCTAAGGAGAAAAAGCAGCTTTCACAGAAGAGAAATTGGAGCCAAATAAGAGTGTATGAGGTTAGTCTCCTGAGACCAGCCCTTTCATTCATTGTCTGCTCTTGCTTCTAGTTGACAGGGAGGGAGAACAGATTCTGGCCTCTATATGCAATGCCAGATCAAGAAGTGAGCGGTTGCAGGGGTGGGGTGGGAGGGTGTTGCAGTCACATCCACGTCAGAAGATTTTGTCCTATTGCTCTGGTGAGCAATTCACACTCTCAACCCTGGATTTATGCCTGTCTCAATCTATACCATACATAAAATGGCAGCATCCTAGGGTATATTGTCACAGTAATAAAGGGAGAAAGTAGATAATAGAGGGCACTATTTCAAGACCAAGAGCTTAATTTACAGGGTGTGGTTTTTGTTTTGCTTTGTTTTTGCAGGCTACTATATACTTTTAAAAGTTTTTCTATGTTGTACATTTCTCCTGAAGCGGAAGATAGGGGGGTTTGTATAGTGTACAGAAATTGGCATAATATTTTCTTGCTGCTTTCAGTGATTTATTAATCTGAGTAAAAATAGACCATTGTAAAGTGTTAGAAAAAGTGAAAGAAAAAAAGTTTGTGCCTTTTTTTAGTTTTAGTTTTTCTGTTGCTGTAGAGTCACTGCACTAAACCTTTCCAGACAATGAAAAGAATTAATCTCTTAACAAAGGGGGAAATACATAAATCTAATTGTTTTTTATTGGGGTGTTTAATTAAAAGAATGTTCTTGGTTTTTTGATACCTGTGCCTTTGTAATATGCCTCATTAGTATCTATGTGATAAGCCAAAACTGCTTCAAATATCCTAATCTCCCACAGAGACAGAAGCACAGTTAAGTCACCATCTTTTAAAAAAAAAGTAAATTTATTATTGTATGTCTGACCATAACACCTTTAATTTGTATAAGCAAGACGCGCTTTTAAAAAATGCAACTTGGATGGTACTATGGGATCTCTGTACTTCTAAACACGAGGGCAAGGCACTGAAGTTGGAATGACAGGAATCAAGATGCTGCCTTTGAGAGATTTATTGTGCAAATTTATTTCTCTTCATGCCAATGTGACATCACCTCTGCTTTGTCACAGATGCATTTGGAATATTTCATTTGGTGGGAACACCAGGAGCCATCACAGTCTGTCCCGTCCTCTAGCTTTATCTGCACAGGAAAGGAGTTCTTGCTGAATGTCTTGCTATCGTTTTGTGAACCATGGCATTGGAGTGATTGGTAGAACTACTTTCCTACACCCTGCCTGTGCTGGCATCTCTGAGAACTCTCCAGCTCCACCTCTAGTAGCAGGAGTGAGTGCTAGTGTAAGACAAGACTCAGGTATCCTTAGTGCTGTTTGCTAGATCTCCTTTGGGTCGGGTTAGACAACTCAGAGGTTAAAACCACCTGAACCGCCAGTGCAGTCTTAGGTATTGGACCTGAAACCTTCCCCAAGCATGTTAAGCTGGGCCCATCTTTGGAGCCAGGAGCCAGATAATCCCCTCTATTTCCTGTAGAATCTATGTGAATTTCAGGCTAGTGGCTCCCAGTGCTTGCTTGTCCCCTCTCACAGGGCCCACTTCTGCAGTGCCTACCCAGGCAAATCTCCCAGTCTGCAGCAAGACCGCACGATTAAAGATGTGTGTTTGTTTTTATCTGCCCATAGTCTCAGATTTAATATATTGGCATCATAAGGTAGTTACATCCATTTTACTCATTGCAAGAACCCCAGAGCACATGGAATACAACATTTCTCACCCCCAAAACTCCTAGCATTGCATTATGTTTTAAAATGCAGCTTGCTCTGACGTGACTGCTGCTGTAATTTGTATTGCTGGACAGACGCCTTCATTCTGCTTGAACATCGCTTCTTCTTTCAGAGTGACAGTCCCTATTGTATTACACTGTGGGTTATGTGTGTGCACCTTGTGCCTGGAGCTGGAGAATTTGAAAGTAGTCTCCATTGGTCCACGTTCACCTTGGCTCATCTCATGCCTCCAACCCAGAGGATAGAGGGCAGGGCAGACCAAACACCTCTCCAGTTCCTTCTCACTGCCTCATGGTCTGGATCTGAAGCTCTGTGGCTGTAGCTTCAGCTTTGGCCCTTAAGCTGGATTTAGTTTTGTAACTAGTTTAGCATTTTGTATCAATATCCCCCAGCATTCTTTCAGAGTTTCACTGGAAGCAGATGCTCCACTTACCTGTGGTGTTCCCTAAACCGCCCGCTTCCTCAGAGGAGCAGAGACTCCAGGCCCTTGCTGCTAGCCCCACCCCTATGCTGCTGCCCCACCTGTATTCCTGGCTCCCCTGGCAGCCCAGCTGAGCTGCATGTCAGGCTTCCATTCTCCTGGCCCCGCCCCCTGGCAGCCCAGCTGACCTACACGCCTGCTGCATTATGCCTGCCTGCCTTCCTCCCCCTCTCCCCCCCATGCAGGGCACCATGACTATCTGTTCCTGGAACATCCGTGGTCTGATGTTGCTGAATCAGAGAATCCAGTTCAGAGAGTTGAAACATGTATGATATCGCTTCAGGAAGTGCTCCACATTGGTAAAGCAGCCCTGTGGTGCTCCATTGACAGCACTACAAGACAGTATATCTAGTCCAGGGCTCTTCTGCTGATGCCTCCTTTGGAATGGCTGTCCTTCATTTAGCCCTAACATCTGCCTCCACACCCCTCTTTCTGCTGATACACTGCTTGTTGATCACCCACAGTGGAGTACAAGAGGGACCATCACACAAAGTTACTTACCTATAACTGGAGTATGTGGTCCTGATCTGTATTCCTCTTCCTGCTCTCCTACCACTCTGCTTCAGATCTTCCATGATCTGTGGTGAAGAAGGAACTTGAGAGGCAATTGGTCTGTCCTGCCTTTTATTCCCTTGGTTAGGGGTGTGAGATGTGTGTGTGTGGGTCAATAGACACTACTTTAAAATCCTCCAACTCCAGACACACTGTGCGCATGCATAACCCACAGTGGAATCCAGATCTCAAAGAAACACCAGTTACAGATAGATAACCTCCTATTACTGACTGATGTTGTTTGTAATCTCTGTGTACACACCTATGGCTGTACACCAGTATTAAAGTATGTGCAAAGAGCCTATACAAAGAAAAGACATGCATCCTGCCCTGGGAAACTTTCAATCCAAGTTTGCAATTGAAAGAACATTTAAGAAAATCTCTCCAAGGGGTTAATTCTAACCCTGTAGAGAGTTAATTTATGTACTAAATAAGAGACTACATTCATTTGCAATGTTAACCGTGTTTAGACACTTGTTGAAGTTCCCAGTTGATCAGCAAGCTCTCGGTGGGAGAAATGGGGCTTCCATTTTAATATTTCCATGCAAGCTCTCCAGACAGATGCACAGTGAGGTAGAACAATCACAGGTTCTCTCTCTCTCTCTCTTGTTCTAGGGATTGGCATTTGTACATTTTAGTAGAATTTACAGGAGGTAAAACAACCTGGATTTCAGCTGGAGAACACTTTTCAGTAATAATAGAACATAGTATCTTGCAACAGTGATGCCAATGCCTGCTTTTCCCATGTATGCTCTCTGCCCCGTTCCACACTGTTCGTGTCATGGCTGCAGCTTTCTAGTTAATTTTCATTTTTAGTGTGAGGATTATTTTGGGGTGATTAGTTTGGCTGCAGATTTCCTGCTTACTGCCTTGATTCTGTCATGACCTCACAATGTGTGTGGATTCCTGCAGGAGACCCAACTGGGGTTAGGGCCAGGGTCCTCTTGGTGTAACCTTCCTTGCAAGATCAGGGCCTAATATTTATATAGTCCTCTAAAAACTGTTAACACTAGACTCATTTTTCTCTTTAGTACTTTACGTCATTAGCGCCTGTGCCCTCCTTGGGAGACACCTGGGCAGCTCTCCCTTAGGAGTGGCGTGTGCATACTTAGCTGAGGGGCAGAACTGGTCCCTTGGTGCCTGCTCTGAGCAGTGGCCTCTATGAATCATGTGTCCCACTGATATCTAACCCTGAGCAACAGGAATCTAGACCTCTGACTGCTCGGTACCATTCAATGATGTTAAATAGTTAAAGTGGAGTCTAAAGCCCCCTCAACTGCTATTGCCACAAATTAATGCTCCTTCCCCCCCCCTGAGGGGCAGAACTGGTCCCTTGGTGCCTGCTCTGAGCAGTGGCCTCTATGAATCATGTGTCCCACTGATATCTAACCCTGAGCAACAGGAATCTAGACCTCTGACTGCTCGGTACCATTCAATGATGTTAAATAGTTAAAGTGGAGTCTAAAGCCCCCTCAACTGCTATTGCCACAAATTAATGCTCCTTCCCCCCCC